GCACTGCGCACGTGCACGAGGACGCCGCCGGCCCCGTTCCAACCGGTTCGGTCCTCGTGCACGTGCGCAGTGCATGCATGCGTACTAGTGCCTGTGCGATGCTCCAGCTGTTCCTGGAGGATCGCACAGGCGCTGTATGCGTTCTGCGCATGCATGGAAGCGCAGAACTCGTCAAAACCAGATAAGAAACGCGGGCGGACGGGTGGATCCTTCGGCGTTCCCGGAAGTTACTTACTTCCGGGTTCGCCGACCAACCGGTTCGCGGGGACTGCCGCGAACCGCCTGAAACCCACCGCTGCCGTATTGGCTACCAGAGGCACTGTAGACCAGTCCTTTGCTATTTCCAGGTCAGCCCTGTGGGCCAGATATAAGCACCCTGCAGGTCTTGAGTTAGATACCCCTGGACTAGATGACCTACAACAGTGATGGCAAACCTTTTCGGGATCAAGTGCTCAAACCGGAATGTGTGTGCATGTGCATGCGCTGGAGCACCAGAAACCTGAAGACCAGCATATGTCTGCTTTTCCCCCGCTTTGCGGCCCATTTTTAGGGCCATTTTCAGGCCGTTTTCTGGACCGTTTTCAAACTCTTTTCTGGGCTGTTTTCAAGCTGATTTTTGGGGCGTTTTCAACCTGAAAACGACCCCAAAAAGGCCCAGGAACCCACCCACCCCCAACAACCTGTTTTTTGGATATTTTCAAGCTGTTTTCTGGTGCTCCAGCAACCATGAAGACCAGCTGGCCGAAAATCAGAAGACCAGCTGGCAATGGCACGCGTGACCACAGAGTGGGCTCTGCATGCCACCTCTGGCAGTCATGCCATAGGTTTGCCATCATGAACCTACAAGGTCACTTCCAACTCTGTTAATCTTTTAATCTCGTTTAAGCAGACTTTCCATGCTGTTGCCACCATCTCTTTTGAGTTTGCTCAGCAGCCAATCAAGGGCCCAACTGCTCTTTCTAGTTGTCCAGCCAACCGCAGATAGAATCGCACATCACAGTTGATGCTGGGACCAGGGAAGCAGCAGTTCTCCCTCTTCTTACCTTGATGTCCCTGGGAACCACCAAATGAGCAACGATGTTCATCTCGTGCTCCGTCAGCTTCAGCTTTTCTATTCCAATCTGCTTCATCAGGTCTTCCGCCTGTCCAAGGAGATAAAAAAAGGAGGAACTAAATGCAGGCATAATTGCAAGGTTGAAACCTGCTGTTTGGCTTAACGAGGCACTTTCGTTTTAATGAGCTTTAATTGCTGACTGGTCCTTATTATATTCAGCACATGTGCCCAGCATGGCCTCGGAAAATGATTGTCGGTCTTTCATAATATAATAATTCTACACGGTCACTGAGAAGCAAGCGGCTTTTTTTCAGCAGCATCAAACAGGCAATGAGAATGGAGCATAATTATTTTGAGAAAGCCCCCACTTATAATGCTTGTAACAGCTGTTAAAAAGATCAGAAGCCTCTTTATAATTTTTCCTTTTCCTATTTTATTTCTTATTTATTCACTGTTACAGAATCTGGAATTTAACCTGTCATGTCTTCAAATATATATATTTATCACAAATATTTATTTTATTTCTTTTAAAAAA